TTATAATAGCCTATTATAGCCTAAATATTATGATATCTAATCGATTACATTAATTGAAATAAATAATTATACTCCCATTAATAAAACACCTGATGCTGTCGGGAGCTGACCAACTTTGTGAAATTTGGTGTGAAAGGAGTAACAACACAATGAAGTTGCGATTGTAAGTTGCAGTCTGTAAGACGCGCACGGAAGCATGACTTGATTTGCGACATTGCAGAAAATGTGCGTTCACAAATGTAGCCTATGTTGATCCAAATATGGAAAGCACTTTCGAATTTAATAATCCTCTCCAGTCTCCAGAGATGTTTTGCCACATTTCTGCAATTAAAGATGATTGCTGCATAGTATGGGTGTTGCCCGAACTGAACTAGAGCCTTGCATTTCGACTTTTTTACGCCCCTAGGGCTGGGCTTCGGGACAATTTTCACGTCATAGTTAAGACGCGGGTCCGGCATCGGGCCTGTTTTAGGCTTCTCCTTATTTTTATATTTTAGACATCCATCAATTAGTGATGAAAAAAAATTGCCACGCTGGTGGAAACAACACGAGACGAGTGTCAAGAGTGGCTCGACGGTTTAGTGTCCCGCAGCAGTAGCAGCATGTATGCCGTCAGCGCAGCTGAACAGTTCTGCGTTCAAATGCACGCAATAGGCTAAAGCTTGCCGCAAAGCACCGGCAAAAGTAATCACCATGAATGTGTCCGGGGGAAACAGTAAGGAGATATTTGAATTAATTATCTAATAAACTAGTGTTTTCTGAGTCGGTGTCGCAAGGATGAAGTTGTCGATCCTGACTCGCCATCTCCTCAGACGCGCCTTTTGAGAGAAGTACATCTTTACGGATTATGATTATAATGAAAGAGTTTTTGTATTTGATGCGTATCCACTGAAAAAAATGCAAGTGATTGCGCTGGCACCTCCATGTCCTGCAAAGCTTTAGCTTTAGCTTCCACTCTCCGCACAAACTATTGGATATAGCCAGAGGCGGACTTAACCATTAGGCAAAGGTAAGCGACCGCCTTGGGCCCCCAAAAGCCAAGGGCCCCCTAAAATGCTTTTTATATGCGAGATGCGTGTTACTTTAAAAAACTAAAACTTATATTTAACAAACAAAAAATGCTCCAAACGTTTTTCTAAATTAACTTAATAAAAAAACGAAACGAAATATAATCACTTTGCCATTACATACAAAACTGAACTATTTTAATAGCTGGAACAGTAGTATAAGCTGTTTTGGGAGAAGGGGAAAAAAAAGATGGGGTCGGACTCGGGCCGGTAATTCTGTTAAGCTGTCGGACACGGGCCGGGCTAGGATCGGAGCTTCTCGGGCCAGGGCCAGCCTAGGGCCTATATTTGAGGCCTGTGCAGGGCTTTAAATCATGCTAGCAACACGCTAATCATGCTAGAAACAGGTTAGTCACTTGCTAATCATGCTAACATGTTAGTCACTTGCTAATCATGCTAGCAACATGCTAGTAAAATGCTAATCATGCCAGCAATATGCTAGTAACAGGCTAATCATGTTAAAAACATGCTAGAAACATGTTATCAACATCTATCTAATCTAACTACATTTTCAAACTTCAGGCTTTTACAACTGCTTTAAACTTTCAGGCTAGGCTTTCTACAGTCAACCTAAACTTTGTCTTGACAAACTTTTTTATCTAGTTTTGTACTTAATATACTAAAAATGATCAGGGGTTAAAGCAAAAAAAAAAAAAATCCTGAGCCTGAACTTTTTTCCGGGGCTTGGGGGTTGCGGGGACACATACACAGGGTTATTTGGCAAACAAAAAAACAAAATGATTTTCCTTGAAACTAACTAGTAACGTATCTGCCATTGCCATTAGCCCTTGACAGGCTCAGACTACAGATTATGGTGGATATCTGAAACAGCAATACCAGGAAAGGTTACTCACTACAATATGGTGCAAACACATGTAACATTTAGCTTTGTCCTTGACAGGGTACAAGATGACCTACAATCTAAAACATGACATTTCTGAAATTGCTTTGTTCAGAAGGAATAATGGTAAATTAAATACTAGGAAATTAATATAAAATAGGAAATATACAAAGACAGTTTACTCCAGAAAACTACAGTTCAGTTCAATTAACAACAACAGAAACATTAA